TAAATATATATCACATTCTTAAGTTATATTAATACTTATTAAAATTTATAACATTATACCTATAGTTTTTATGTCAAATTCAACCCAAATCTTTGATAACAATTATTGTTGTTGTCTTAAATTTTCCAATTGTGGAAGGCAAAGTAATCAATTTCACCCATTAAAGCTTACTATGATACTTTTATATTTTGTTAAACACTTTAATATACAACAGTATTTAACTTGATAAAATTAACTTAAACATTTACCTCATTAAAATGTGTTTTTCTAGGTTTTCCTATTAATACAATCATTTAAAAATATTCCTAATAGAAACATTTATTTTTGCCTTTGCAATAACTTTTAGGATAAATCGCTAGAAGGGTTTGTATAATATAAAACTGTATTATACATGAAATAAGACAATTTTCAGGATATTCTTAAATACTGTATTCATGATTCTAACAAAGAATGAGAAAATTAGACTACATTCAATGTAGGTATGTGTATGTATATATGTGTATGTGCGTGTATTTTTCAAGTGAGAAAACAAAAGTGTCAAAACAAATCATTCAATGAATAATGGGTAATTTCAAGTGGAGTTGTGGATTTTTTAAAAGAAATTTATTATAAGGCTTGAAATATAATTTTGAGAAGTTTCGTAAAAATACAGACATTATATTAGTACATGTTTTTAATATAATGGGTTAATTGTATTTTAAATGTAATTCTTATATATTCTTACAATTTTAGTGGGAAGGAAGTGGAAGCTTTGGATTATCTTTTTCTTCCTATAGTGTGTTGGGTGATTGAAATTGGTATCCACAAAAGGAACAATACATTTTTAGACATCCGTTGAAAAAACAAACATATGTAATAACTTTATTATGGGGGTTTTGAAAATATCCACATCTTTCAACACTTGGAAAGGCAGAAGGTTTGGTTTTCTTTCCGGAGACACTAATAACATTCTATAGACATTGAATGTAGAAACAGAGAGAACACACAAGTGAAAGGAATTTTCCTATTCGTTTTTTTATGTAGAAAGTTACTCTTGAGCACATTTTTCATTGACACCAGAACATTGTCAGTGCTAATGTTGTAGATGATAGGATTGAGTGTAGGTGCAAGGCAGGCATAGGATACTTCTAGAAACATAAGCTGACCTGAAATATGGTATGATTTAAGTTTCATATACATATGTGAAAAAGAATGAGTCCCAGTATGTTACAACTGCAATCATGCGGATGGAACAAGTGGAAAATGACCTTTCCCATGCCTCTGATAATGTCATCTGGAGGACAGTTCATAGAATTTGGACAGAAGCAGCACAAATCATGGAGAAAGAATGATCAAAAATATGATGTTGCTTACATTAACTCCTCATTCATCCTGTAATGTGTCTACACAAGAGAATCTGATGTAGATATAAGAATATATTTTTTTTTCCTAAAATAAGTTTCAACTTGTTAACTTACTAAGCCAGGTAGCAACTTATTGAGTAGAATGGATTTACTTAGGCACCATAAAGACTAACGGCTAATGGCCTCTTAAATTCTCTAAGTGAATACAAAGTTTTACCTTATTTTGTCTAATTAATGTCTTGCTTACTTTACTTATAGCATAAGAACTCCTCAACAGAAGTTGTGCTTCTTCTCAAATGAATTTCCACAGAAGTTTAAAGGACACATCCAGCTACCAGTGACCTACAACGGGATGTTCAGGAGACTATCCGTATCTCCACTGATACCCAGGTATCGAAACACTCACCACTACAGATGTATGTCTTTAGATTGTGATACACTATACCTTTTAGTGTACTAATTATTTCTATATGCAGTACTTTAGATTTGTGGTTGACGCTTAAAATACCTAACTTTCCACTTCTAATTTCATCCAAGTATGCTTTACAATCCCATGCTGATTGAACCATGCTCTTTACACTGTTCATTAAGAAATATATGTGTGTGTGTGTGTATGTGGGCATGTTTATTTATATAAAGTCTTCTACTACCCTCAATGTAGGACTTTCTATGTTGCTATATCCCCAATACGAAAAAATATGTTTTTTAGCCCTATCACAGAGTATGTTTGAATTTTAATCTGTCAATTCAAAAATCTCTGAATTCTGACTTCTAAATTCCTATATCATCCTCAGATCTTTTCTGTAGAATCACTTTCTCTTGTTTGCAATAATATCTTGGTAGTGGGATTTTTACTGTCTCTGATTTCATGCTGTTCTTGGGTCCACATTAGGTATTACTATGAGTTGCAAAAGCAGGCTTTAAAAAATATACAGCACACGATGCATCTAATATTAACATTAGCACTTCCAGTCAATTTTGAGCTTTTCTTAGCAATACATTTTTATATATCATTATGCTAGTAATTTTTCCTTAGCACACCAGGGATAGGAGACTGTTACATGTCTGGAATCAAGCAAAAAAAATCTCAATTGCCAGGGAAAAAAATATTAATATATAATAATTGCTTATTTTATGTCTAAATCATCAACATTAAATAGTTTTATTATTAGAAGGTAATTTCATAGTTTATTTAAAGTCCTTAACATATACTGCCACAATGTTCTCTTTAAAATGTTTGTACCATATTTCATGTACGCCGACAATACGTTATGATGCGCAATTCCCTAAAACATTAACATTTACTACTATTGTTTTAAAATTTCCAATTGTGAAAAGCAAAATAATGATTTTTCATTAAAGTTTCATATATATCTTCATATTTTATGTTAAATATTTAATAATATTTCTCTAGTATAAAACATTTAGTTAACATCCTACAATAAAGTTAACCTGAACATTTACTTCATTAAAATGTGTTTTTTTAGTTTTTACTCTGAATAACATTATTTAGGGGAGAGGCGCTCAGAGCGGGGAGCGGGGCTGAGCAGCAGCCGAGCCTGGGAGAGGAGGCCCCGGAGCCAGCCCCATCCCTGAACTGCTCATGGGAGGGGAGGAGGTCCCTGACAAAGCCCCATCCCTGAGCTGCTGATCGGAGAAGAGTACCCTGAACCAGCCCCATCCGTGAACTGCTGGTGGGAGAGGAGGCCCCTGAGCCAGCCCCACAGCTGAGCTGCTGATGGGAGAGGAGGAGGCCCCTGAACCAGCCCCATCCCTGAGCTGCTGGTGGGAGAGAGGCCCCTGAACCAGCCCCATCCTGAGCTGCTGGTGGGGAGAGGAGGCCCTGAACCAGCCATCCTGGAAGCTGCTGGTGGGAGGGAGGCCCAGGCCCCTGAACCAGCCCCATCCCTGAGCTGCTGGTGGGAGAGGAGGAGGCCTGACAGTCGGGAGCAAGAAGGGAGACCATCCCCATCCCCAAGGGGGCCTCTCGCCTGATACCTCGGTCCGGAAGGCGTTCCCAGCTGCCCTTCCTCAGGAGACACCAGTGTGCAGAGCAGCGCCCTTCCTTTCAAGAGGTTCTTCACGCTCTCATCGTGGTCCGCGGTCACGGGAGAGAGGCCCCTCTTGGACCCACAAGCACGCCCACCATTGCCAAAGACGCCGCGGCAGGTCTTACAGCGGCGCGTCGTCCAGGAACCCGGCGAGTGAGCCCAGGGCGCAGGTGCGGAAGAGGATAAAGAGGCTCCACCTGGTGGCCGCAGCGGGTCCTGCAGCAGCGCGTCCTCCAGGAGCCCCGCGAGTGAGGGGCGCAGGTGCGGAAGATGATAAACAGGCTCCACCTGGTGGCCGGGTCGGTAATTGGCTCCAAGAGCAATAAAGACAGCGGGAACCTGGGCCAAGGCGCCTGAGGCAAGCGGGTGAGTGCTGGGACCCTGCCAGATGGACGTCTCGGATTGCCTGAGGGTCATCTGCAGTGTGGGCAACTACCGGAAGGCGGCACCGCCAAAAATCAACGCTCTCGAAAAAAGTAAACGAGACGGACTAGGAGAACCAGCTCCTGTGTGTCTTGGGGTGTGACTGGTTCACCCTCCACAGTCCATGTACATCACTTTAAGCTCCTGGGCAGGAACACCCTTGAGTTCCCGAAGGAGAATAACTTCCAGCCATTCCCCTCCCACATGTCTGGCACATGGCCCACCAGCTCTGCCACACCCTTAGATTTCTGCATGAGAACCGGCTGACCCACACACCTGTAAACCAAGAACATCCTGCGTGTGGATTCTGAATTACACACCTTCTACAGAGAGCACAGGAGCAATGAGAAGTCAGCGAAGACCACCAGCGTCCGAGTGGCTGACATCCGCAACGCCACTGCTGACCGTGAGCATCACACCACCATGGTGACCACCGTCACTGTCGCCTGCCTGAACTGATCCTTCATCTGGGCTGGACACGCGCCTGCCATGTCCGGGCCATGGGCTGCATTCTCTTTAAGTACTACCAGGTTTCACACTCTTCCAGACCTATGAAAACCAAGAGCACCTGGTGATGATGAAGACCCTAGGGCCCAGCCCATTACGCGTGATCTCCTGTACCAAGAAGCAGAAATATTTCTACAAAGAGGGCCTAGTTTGGGATGAGAACAGCTCCGACGGCCCATATGAGAAGAACTGCAAAAGTCTGAAGAGTGACATGCTCCAGGACTCTCTGAAGCACCTGCAGCTGTTTGACCTGATGAGGAGGGTGGTAAAATTGGACCCTGCCCAGCACATCAAACTGGCTAAGACTCTTCTGCAGCCCTTCTTTGCTGGTCACCCTCAGTCGTGGTCCTTCCAAACCACAACCCAAGCAGATGACAGGCACAGGACACAGCATGGGGAGAGCGGAACTGGGCTGCCCAGTCCCCTTTCTCCAGCCCCTACCACTAGGTCCCGGGACCAGAACCACCCAGTGAGCAGTGCAATGTGAAGGAAGGCGGGAGCCTGCAGGGGAGCCGAGGTGGTGCCCAGCTGTTCATATGTTTTAAACTGATAAAGTATGTCTTACTGTTTGTAAAAAGAAGAAAAAAACATTAAATGAATTCTCAATAGAAATATTTATTATCTTCTTTGAAATAAATTTTAGGATAAATTGCTAGAAGAGTTTCTAGAATATAATCCTATATGTAAAAATGAAATAAGAAAATGTTTATGATACTCTTATCTAATGTATAGTTCCTTCTAGCATAGGATGAATAATTCAATTTTAACACAACTTATATCTGTATATTTGTGGGTACATATATATATGTGTGTGTGTATATATAATATATATAATATATAATACAAATATATATATAATTTTACTAAACAAAGGTGTTGACAAACCAGGCAAATAATAATGGAGATTTCATATGGAATTTGTGAATTTTTGATAAATGATTGTTAGCAAAATAATTTTACAAAGTTTTATAAAAATAAACATTATATGGATTTGTCTTTTCTTATACAATAAATGTGTGATTTTATTTTTAAGGATATTCTTACAAAGTCTTACAATTTTAGTGTTAGGGAATAGGACTGCTCCTTGGGTAATTTTACTTCCTGTAACTGTTGCATGGCTGTAAATGGTACCACAGAAGGAACAATACATTTCTAGTGGTAAATGTTTACAACACACAGGTTATTATTTATTATTAACAAGGTTTCTGAAATATTCACTTCTATCCACATGTGGCAAGATAGAAGCTTTGATTTCTTTCTAGAAAACCTATTACGAGTACCCTTCAGGTATTTAAGGTAGAAATAGAACACACATTCAGAAATTTTCCTATTCATTTTTTATGCAGAAACTTACTTTTGAGCATATTTTTCATCACCGCCAGAACATCTTTATTCCTAAAGCTGTAGATTAAGGGGTTGAGTGTGGGTGTGAGGATCGTATAGAATATTGCCAGGAACTTATCCTGGCCTGGAGTGTGGTATGATTTAGGTCTCATATACGTAAAAATAAATGGCCCATAGTACATCACGACCACAATCATGTGGAAGGAACAAGTGGAAAATGACTTTTTTCTTGCCTCTGATGATTTCATCTGGAGGACAGTAAGAATAATTTGGCCATAAGAAGCAGAGATCAAGAAGGCAGGGATCACCAGGAATAACACAGCACTTACATAAACCCCTCGTTCATAGTTTGTTGTGTCTGCACAGGACAACTTCAACATGGCAGGGACTTCACAGAAAAAGTGATCAATTGCCCTAGAGCCACAGAAGGGAAACTGCAGTGCGTAAGCTGTGTGGACTGTGGAGTTGAAAACCCCAATGAGCCAGGCGCCTCCAGCCATGAGAGTGCTGGCATACTCCTTCATAAGAATCGGATAGCGCAGCGGGTGACAGATAGCCACATAGCGATCATAGGACATTGCAGCCAGGAGAAGGCACTCACCACCCAGGAGGGTGAGGGACAGAAACACCTGGAACCCACAACCTGCAAGTGAAATAGTTCTGCTGCCTGACAGGAAGTTAGTGACCATTTTGGGAACGATGTTGGAAACATGCAAGATATCCATAAAGGAGAGATGGCTGAGCAGAAAATACATTGGAGTGTGGAGTCGTGAGTCACTGCGAATGAGGAGGATCATGAGTGTATTTTCTGTTACACTCATAATGAAAATGACAAATATAAATGAGAAGAAAACCAAACTTGTTGGGGAAGAAGAGAACACTCCCAAAAGTATGAAATCGCTGCTGAAAGTGTCATTCTGATGGCCCATCGTGAATTTGCTTTGTTTTTTAACCTAAAAAGAAATAATAAATAAATAATAAATAGAGAAAGAAAAAAAGTGTAAATCTTAATCTCAGAATAATATGCCTGCATAATAAAATGAGAGTGAGTGATGCATGTTTTGTAATCACCGAGGAACTCTTAGGAAGTTTTTGGAGTGGGCATGTTTTACAAGGTGGGTATTTTTATTTGTTCAAACCAACTGATGATATTTAGTATACTGAGTGGGCTCTTGGCTCCATGTTGACCCTCATAATCTTAATTAATTACATATAATTTACTCGAGTCTACCCTTTTCTCAAATGTCATCTTCTCAAGGAAGCCTACACTTGCACACCCTTTAAAAATTTGTAAGGCTCCCACTTGAACCCTAATTTCCTGGTCCTCTTTACTCTGCTCCATTTTCACATGTTTGCATACCACTTTTCACATTCTCATACATTAAATAGTAAGCACACTGGTTATATTTACTGTTTATTTTCATTCTCTGCCAGAATTTTCCCTTCACAACGAGAGATCCTTGTTCTGTTCACTGGTATAGCCAACTGCCTGGAACAGAACTTAGTGCATAGCAGTTGCTCAACAATGTTTGTTGAATATTTGAATGAAACAAATGAACCACGGAACTTAATATTCTCTAATGCATTTATTATTTAGATTAAACTTATAGAAAATAAAATGTATAATTCTAAGACTTCCCAAAGTAATAAGTAATAAAATATTGTCACAAAACCCAATATGTTTGTAATCTGAAACACGATATTTTAAATGTAAAAAATAGAAGTATAATTTAGTCAACATCAACCACGTGTCTTTAAGGATATATTTTTACATTTACCTGTTATGCTAACTTGTAGAAATTGAAGTATAATATATTAATCCTTTATGAGGGGAATAGTAGGTGTTGATATTATTTATTTATATTTTGATAGTCATTATTTAAATGGTTACAGTTATTTGTGCACCTCCTGTATGTGTAAAATTTCCCTCAATATAAATAAATACATACAAATATGCATGTACATATTAATTTGTAAATTATAAAATTTGTAAACACATTAGTCCAGGTTTCTGTCTTTCAATAAATTTTATAATCATGAAAAAAAACAACAAACATTAAAAAATTATTTTCCACCTTATTAACAACTACTTAAGTTTGAATAAAATGAGCTTAGATTTTCCCTTTTGTAAAATAAATGCAAAAGTAGGTCGCTGACAATATATAAATGATTTTTTATTTTAATTTTTGTGAATATTCAGATTCTTCATAAGTAACAGATCCCTTAATCCTATTTTAATTCCCTTGAATAACAACAATGGTGTGCTATGACTTTCAGAGTTAGAAAAGATAAGCACCTCAGTGAGGTTTACAGATGTTTGTGTAATTAGTCCTGCCTGTTTTTTTGTTTTGTTTTATTTTGTTTTGTTTTGTTCTTGAGACAGAGTCTTGCCCTGTTGCCTAGACTGGAGTGAGTGGCCCGATCTCAGCTCACTGCAACCTGTCTCTGGGGTTCAAGCAATTCTCGAGCCTCAACCTCCGAGTAGCTAGGACTACAGGCGCCACTACCATGCCCAGCTAAGTTTTGTCTTTTACTAGAGATGGGGTTTCACCTTCTTGGTCAGGCTGGTCTCAAACTGCTGACTTCAAGTGATCTGCCCGACTCAGCCTCCCAAAGTGCTGGGATTACAGGCATGAGCCACTACACCCAGCCAGTCCTGTCTGTTTTTACTGTTTTGACCCATGGTTTTGTAAAATTTAATGACACACATAGATTCAGACTTAAGGGCAGTGTTCCCTTGTCTGAGCTGATCATACATAAATTTACAAAATGAAAAAATACTGCTGAAAACTCAAAATCAACATACCTGTATCTAAGGTTGTTAACTTTTCCTTACTCCCTGGAGTTACATCATTCTTCTGGTTTTACCTGTTCAATAAATGATTTACTTTGTTTCTGTAATCCCATGTCCTACTGAATCATCAGCTCTTAGCCAACTTCCTGGCCCATTTTAGGTCTAATTAATTCCTTTTTACAAGAAAGATTTAATTTTTTAAGTGATTTTTGATGTTAAAATATTTTTAACTATGCATAAATTATCCTTCTCTGTATTTCATACTGGCTTTTACATGTTTTAGAGTTCATATTATAAACACAATAATACCTGTATTTTTTTCTTCAGAAATTGGAAGCAATCCACAATTTATTTCTTATCTTCTTCATCATCTTACTTCCAGCACCTTACGTTCACTACCATGAGGCACCTGCCATTTCCGCAACATTTTTTTAATGTCTCTTGGCCTAACCAATCAGCGATCTGAAATATACGCCCATGATGATGGAATGATTAATGAAAGCACATCTTCTATGTTATCCAGGAGTATTTCTATCTTGGGTGAAATCTGCCATTGTATGCAAAGAGAAATGCTCTAGTAATGAGCTTCTCGATTCCGTGTTTGAAAGTGCAGAAAAATGTGTCACCTATCCTGTAGCTTGTTCCCCACACGTGCAGCTCTTTCCCAAAGTAACATTCATTTCTCACCCATCTGGCTCCAAGTATACTTTGTTAGTAATGTCAAATGTTAGAGAAAAACATAACATACACCCTACATCCATCTCTTTTCTATAAGCTTGGAGATTAATCAGAGAACATGCTCTCCTCAGGATTCTGCTTTAACTTTTTCAGTTTTTTGGATCTGTAGTTTTTAGGAAATTCTTATGTTTTCCAAAAGTCTGTTCACATCTTTATATATACTTAAAGTTTTATCATTTGGAAGGAGCAGTTAGTCAGTCCAGGCTAAAATTTAACCAGTGGACATCATACTTCACATAAACTGAGCATAAGAGAGCCAATTTGATTTGAGGAAACACAGGTCATGATTATGGAGAAAGAAATATAGAGTGACACCAGCATAAATCATGTACATAATTTCATACTAAGTTTAATACAAACAAAAGAATAGACTTTTTTTTCCAGATACATCATACTTCTTTCAAATGACAACTGTATGTGATTAAATGTCTGTGTGTGGGTGTGTGTGGGTGTGCGTATGTGTGTGAGAGACCTTACCATATCTAAAAATGTCTTCATTTAGGAACAATAATTTAGGCTCCTTAAATTATTTAGCCAATTATTCCAAAAAGTTGGTATGTGTAGCCAAATTGTTTGTCAATGGAACTACCTCAGAGCCCATATGTTTATTCCCATTAGTGAATCAAACTATTCCTATCTGATTGCTGTGCAAATGTTCTGTTGAATTTACCCCTGCTTGGAACTTACTTTCTAGATGTAGACACCATCATACCCCAGTCTCCTTTTGTACTCTCACTCTTCACTCATTGACTCACTACCTTCTGAGCACTTTATGTTTATGAAGATTGTTCAAACACACTACCTAGTCATTAATTTAGACTTAGTTCAACTAAAAATACTTTTCATTTATCTACCATATGTCTAACTATACTGATAAGGCATACAACAAGTTTCTTCAAATTTTGATATTTCTAGAAGTCAATATTTCACTAATATTGATATGACTTTACATTCAAATGTTAGGCAGTTATTTATTTACTTCTACCTTCTTTACATTAAATGTTTGACTGCAAGACAGGCACAAGACAAAATTCACCAAAACTATTCTGATAAGCCTAATCATAAATGCTTCAAGTATCAGACTTAATGAGTCAGTGACTGACTAACAAAAAAATGGTCACTGGTAATTCACTGAACTACAGTGGAGTTTCATAGGAGAAGCAAAAGTTAAATACTAAATTAACCTAAATATGGATGAAATTTAACTATTACTTTATCTAGGGCAGATATGGGTATAGTAGAAATATAATGGATGTCACCTAGCCCAGGAGTTAATATGCTATTGATTCAAATATTTTATTAAGCAAATAGCAATAATATCCATATCCTAATGCTTTGAAAAGAGATAAACAAGAAAACGTAATGCAAATACAATAACCTGAAAATATTTTATTTTCTGTCTTACATGAAACATCAGATATGAAATTATATCTGAAATAAATATTCATTAAATTATATCTGAAATGAAATTCTATTAAATGAAGATCATGACAGCACCTGCCTGATAAAGTTGTTTTGAATATTAGAGGAGAATCATTAAATACCCCCCCACCACAAACACACACACACACACAGACACACACACACACACAGACACACACACACACAGACACACACACACACACAGAGACACACACACACACTGAGTGAAGAGCGAAAACAGAGGCCTGGCACACAATCAGTATTCAGAATGATTAATATCGTTACTACTATTAATACTATATTAGTATTCTTCTTCTTTTTTTTTTTTTTTTTTTTTTTGTTTCTTAAATTCACATGTAAGTGGTTATATACCAGGGAGTGGGAGACAATGAGAAAGTAAGGAAGAGGAAAAGAGCAGCAGGAAGGGAAGGTATGAAAGAAGAGAGATTCAGGATATGATAGAATCAAATTCTGTAAAGCAAAGTATAACATAATGGAATTGATCAGAAGTATATTTTGTACTTACCATCCAGAAATTTGGTTCACTCAGCTAGGGAGAAAGCAGCTCACCACATCGGATGAGAATGTTTAGGTTGGCTTCCTCACCCACACGCACACATGAAATTGTGTGATAAAGAGCCAACTGAGACTTTGAAATCAAATAACCTGAGCTGCTTACAATTTCATTTTATACCAGCCATTTGATGTTTTCATTCACCATTTTTCCCTTCTATTTTTTCAACTCCATACAATCATTACAGAGTGAGTGACCACATGTCTTCTCCTTGTTACTGCGACCCAGTTTGAGGGAATCCTATAATTAGTGTCTCACGATGACATCAAATATATCACGTCATGCACTAAAGTGCTCAAGTAAAAACTACCATGCACAACTGCCCAAGCCAGAAATCACACAGCCATTCTCGGACTCTCTTTATCTCTACCCCCTTCCATATTGTGTCACTATCTCCTACATGTTCTGCTTATGTAAATCCCTCTCATCGACTGGGTTCCATGTGTGGTCATGGTGGCTGTAAAGCACACATTCTATCCTTCTCTTTCAATTGAACAGAACCTGTATGGGCTCAGCACCATCCACATATAATCACACGCTACTCGTCACTTCTTGAAGCCAGTAGAGTCTGGCCAACTGATTAAATCCTGGACAACTACAACACATGAGTGGTGGGGACTGAAGATACAGACCCTTCTTGCTTCCTTCATCCTGATTCTTTAGCATATGGATATGATGATGTATGTTCCTGAAATGTTCCTCTAACTGTTTCATAGGGACACAATCCAAGGTATTAAGGAGCCGAAGATAGTGCACTACCAGGCAATTTCCTGTTGATGACCAATCACAAAACTTGCCCTGATTAGCCAAAATAAACACTTGCTTCTTATGAACAAATTAAAAGTGATTCTTGCTTTGAGGGAAGTGCTTCAACATTGGACTCAGGAAATATTTTATGTATGACCTCAAAGGCACAGGCAACAAAACAAAAACAGACAAGTAGGGCTATATTAAACTAAAAATCTTCTGCACAGCAAAGGCAACATTCAACAGGGTGAAAAGACAACCTGCAAAATGGAAGATAATATTTGCAAACTATTCATCTGACAAAATATTAATATATAGTTTATGTAAGGAACTCAGATCAATAGCAAAAAAACCCATAATCCAATTAAAAAATGGGTAAATGATCTAAATACACATTTCTCAAAAGAAGACATAAAAATAGCCAAGTACTTGAAAAAATATTCAACATCACTAATCATAAGGGAAATGCAAAGCAAAACAACAACGACAAATCAAAAAAGACAAAAAATAACAAATGCTGGTGAGGATGTAGAGAAAGAGAAGTCTTACACAGTATCGCTGGGAATGTAAATTAGTATCGCTATTATAAAGAACAGTATGAAGGTTCCTAAAAATATAGATCTATCATATAATCCAGGAATTTCACTCCTGGGTACATATACAAAGGAAAGGAATTTAGCCTATTGAAAAGACATCCACACATCAATGTTTAGTGCCGCACTATTCACAATATCCAAGACATGGAATTAAACTGCATGTTCATCAACCAATGAACAGATAAAGAAAATGTGTTATATATACACAATGGAATACTATCCAGTCATAAAAAGAACAAAATTTTGTCATTTCTGGCAACAGGATGAGCCTGGAGGACATCATATTGAGTGACATAAACCAGACCACAGAAGGATAAATACTGCATGTTCTCATTCATATACAGAAGGTAAAAAATCGGATCTTATAGAAGTAGATAGTAGGACAGTGGTTACTAGAGGCTGGGAAACATGGGGGGCTAAGGAGGAGACAGAGAAGTTGCTCAATGAGGACAAAATTATAACTATGTTGGAGGAATAAGTTCCAGTGTTCTATAGCACTCTAGGGTGATTATCATTAATGACAATTTTTTGTATGTTTTCAAATAGCTGGAAGAGAGGATTTTTCAATGTACCCAGCACACATGCGTATACACACACACACACACACACAAATGTTTGAAGTGATTAATATGCTAATTACCCTGATGTGATGATTACACTTTGTATGTATCCAAATATCACTCTGGACTCCATAAACATGTGCAAGTATTATGTGTCAATTAATTTTTTAAATTCGTGTTTTATGTTTAAGTCCCTACTTACCAAGTCTCTATTACTGATGACAAAACTGAATTCTCTCTTATTATGCACTTAATAACCTTATGATGGCATTAGAAAAAAAGAAAACTATTTTCTCATTATAGTGGAGGTAATTAAAGGCAAAAACTGAGGTTATTTCCAGAAACTAGGGAAATGTATTTTGTGTGGTAGTTAGCAAGTTATTTGTTAACTCTGTTACATGTTCTACTATAGAATGCATAGCAAAACCCAGCAAGTGTGAGATGAACCATGCTAGAGTTAGCAAAGATAAAACAATAAGCATTGGGGGTCAAAGATTCATCTGCCTAAAACATGAAATAGATATCACCCGAGTCTCATACTTAGAAGCCTTGCAGGACTGAAAACATCAACTGGGGTTGAATTGAAATGAAGGCAGCTGCAAGCACTAGATGGCGAGTGTCAGCCGGACAAGGAAAAGACTCCATGGCTCAAACTTCACCAAGCACTTTCCCTTGAGAACGCTGCAGAAGACAGTGGGTACCTTGCGTGTCACAAAGAAGCAAGTTACGTTTGCTCCCACTGAAGTCTATTGTTGAAACTATTCTCAATGCAGCGGCATTTAACTAATATTGGGAATAATCAAGAGATTAAAAACTCTATCTTAGCAGTAGATTTTGATGGATATTGGTTTCAAATGGAAATGAATAGACACAAAATATATTTTTAGAAACAGAAGTACTGTCAAAGGAAACCTAAGTCTGTTTGGTACCACTCTGAATTTGTGCGTTGTAGACCTGTAAGTAACTCCCTAGACCGCTGAGATAGCAGTAGCAGGAATTTGGCCACAAATTGTATGCATCAATGTGCAATCTCTGATTTCACCTGCAGATTAAAAAAGCAATAGGATTATACTGAGGGAAAGAAAATTCAATGCCAAAGGCAATGTCAATTTTAAAAGGACACAGTGGACAAACAGAATCTTTTCAGAGGCCAAAACGAGGGGTATATAAAAAGTTAGCCAACATGATTTCTCCACTGACAGCAGACAAACTCTTTACCATTCCTGTCAATTAAAGATCTTTGGATTATTGTTTGTTAATGTATTAAATTTCAACTGGATGTGCAACAATTTAGTCAACTATTATGTTACTTGTTACATTTATATAACCTTTCAATTTTAATAGTAAAAGTAACGTAATAAGTACCACTGAGTTTCTAACTTTTTATATTTGAATCAAAACTAAAATTCTGCTTTAAAGATAATAAGTTTATATTTCTATTAAGTCATTTCAAATAATTTCAATGGTGTATCATTTATCTAAATAAAATGGAACTATTAAATTTGCTTTATTGAATAATTTGCAAAAATCAAGCCTACTACAGGCATATCTTAAAGTACTAATTCACTTTAGTACATTATGTACATATGGAGATTATTTTAGAATGTTAGTCATTTCATGATCAGAATATACAGCAGAAATATATTTTGAGAAAGAGTTAGTGAAGAAGGCAAGTGAGTTGATCTGGGAATAGAAAAATTAGCACAGTGGTCTGTGATAATCGTTTGCTACCCTTAACACATCTATTAGATTTTATACTGGGGGAATCTTCAATCTATAATTCCAATATGTTTTACTCAAAATATTTAGCACCTGCTTTTATATGATAGAAACACAAATATTGTAATATTATAATGACAACTAAGTTAATTCCCTGCCTCAGATTGCTCCCCATATAAATACATTTCAGTCCTAATACTAGATTCTTCTTTCTGGGACCACAGTCTTGAGTCTGCAGACATTCTGCTGGGTCACATTTTTTTAAATTAAAAAAAAAAATCATAAAATTTGCCTGAGTTTAGTTCACATTTCTGGTGAAACTGAAGTATTTATATTTACAGAAATTGAGCTGTCTTGCATCTTTTTCATAAGTTGGGTTCTTTCTTGCACATAAACACTCTTCCCCAGCACTTCTAAAGGCTTCAATTTCTTCAGTTTTCCTAAAATTTTGCATGTAAATCTTCCCTCCACGGAGACTTCCTTGTTCTCTTCAAGGGGATGACTCTCTCCCCCTCAGAGCCTGCTCTGTCAGAACGTCATGTTTAATCTACAGTTTAGCTGCTTACGTTTTATGTGGACTGTCTGCTCCTTCCTGGTGAGGAGCTGACTGCAGGTGGACTCCTGAGCACCCTGAACATCACCTGTGCCTTCTGCATGACCTGACCCTGAAGTCCTCCTGGGGGTCTCATCTCCCACCACATTTGACCTTACCAAGTTCCGCTGCTCACAGGACATTCCAGGGCAGGGTCTTTCACATTTAGCACAACAGTTTAGCTGCTTACGTTTATGTGGACTGTCTGCTCCTTCCTGATGAGGGCTGACTGCAGGTGGACTCTAGAGCACACTGAACATCACCTGTGCCTTCCTGCATGACCTGACCCTGAAGTCCTCATGGGGTCCTCATCTCCCACCACATTTGACCTTACCAAGTTCCGCTGCTCACAGGACATTCCAGGCAGGGTCTTTCACATTTAGCACACTGGGCTCAATACCCCTTCCTTCCTCATGGTGTCCAGCTGCTGTTCGTGCTACTCAGATGTTTGTTTCAGTGTCACCTCCTTGAGAGTGACTCAGAGGTATTGGGTGATACTCAGTTCAGTGATTTCCTTCTGATTAGCTGACAGTTTGCAGGGAGAAGGGGGATATGTGGTTTGAAAGGAGCATGGAAAAGAATGAAAGACACCTTCCCAACAGGAAGTCCTGTAGTGTGTGGCTTCTGGGAGAGAAAACGGCCACCCTTTCATAGGGCACCATTAGGAGCCATGTCCCTAGGGGATGTGTGAGAAAAGCGAGGAGAACCTGCAGCAATAGCTTGTGTGAAAGGAGGAAAACCATTTGACAACATCTTGAACTCTAGTGGAAGAAATGATGGCGATTTCAAATGAGTGTGCATGTGTATACGAGTGGGATGGGGGCAGTGCTCACTGAAACACTGTGACAACTAGCTCTTTCCTGAGTGCAAGCTTTTTAAAGGGAGACAACAGGATTCAGGTCTATATAAAGGTAAACAGTGAATTTTACCCCAATAAGTTTGTCTCCATTGTTTTTTAAAAAATGACAATTAACACTGAGCCGATTCTGGAAGGTTATGGTTATAACTAAAATAATAAAATGAAGGTGAAATATTAAGCAAAATACATTTGCAAAGTAAGTACTAAATGAACAAGAGGTATTTCTATTTATTACTATTATTATAGTTATTATATAAGAAGTTATACTCTACTTCATCTAGGCGAGGGTTAAAACAATTCACTTAATGTGTCTGAAAGGATATGGAAGTTGACTATTTGATGAAATTACCCTATGATCAAATTATGCCTGTGTTTATAGAAATAAACCAGGTTTAAAGGGTAATAAATTGGCTTTAGATACCCTAAAGCACAACCTGCAGGCCCGGGGTAAATGCCTCAACCAGCCTTTCTTCCACAATCCCCAGGGGCCGCCACTTCCACAGTACAGCAGGGACCTGCCAACCTGGATCTCTCTGGCTCCTGCTCCCTGAGAGCATCTGCTCTACATTCCTCTCCTCCTTATTTCAAGAAAAGGAAAAGTTGTGAAAGAAAAGATTCAGACTAAAAAAAAGCAAAGTTAAAAAAAAAAACTCTAAATATGCGAAACTATTGTATTACAGTTGATTTTTGGATTTAATTTTTTGTTTTTGGAGATCACGTGAGTATATATTTACAAATAAATTGATATAGAAATAAATGTATGTTTATTATTGTTTCCTTTGTAAACTCAGCAGTCTCTTTAACAAGCCAAATTTCTTGCCTGAAAGTTACTGTATCTATATAATCATTTACCAGTAAAGGAGTGAAAGACATGCCATCCCCCAAATAGCAAATTGGAATAGTGATTACTTTGAGTTAAAAACATAGGAGCAATGGTTGTTTCAGAAAGGGCCAGCCAATCATTCTCTTCCTACATGCACGAAGCCATAGAGATCCCTTGGCAGGTACACCCTCCACGTACCAGCTGAGAAAATAGCCCTCACACCAGACACTGGGATCTGCACTGCAATGGATCAGAATGAATACACTTACCTAAGTAATCCTTCTACAAGTTTTACTCCCCTTCATATACCTCCTAATTACTCACTTAGAAACGTATTGCTGTTAGCCGATCCCCTTTGTCCTGTCATTTCTTCTTGGGAAAATATAAAATTGTCTCTCTTTGACCACTTCTTCAGACTCTATGCTCTTGTGAAGAAGTCCCTGTATATGTAAAATTAATAAAATCTGTGTGTTTTTAGTGGCATCATTCCTCCAGTGAAGTGGAATGTTCTGTTACAACTGATAATTAAAACAAACAGATTTATAGCTTTAAGCAGAATGCAGGAGGTGAAAGAGATGTACTAAATACCTGGTTTAATAAAATAGCAAAGCTTCAGGCATTGAATGATAACACGTGTCAGGAAATATAATAACAAATAACCCAATATATGATTTTATTTCCAAAATTCCAAGTAGTCCTATGAATGCCATAGATTGCCTATTAATTAATAACCAAGTTGTTTTTGCTCTGGAAGCATATATAGATTTTTTTTTCCAAAAACTGAAATAGACAGTTTATATCACTAGGCAATAGAAAATAAGCTAATGCAAGAGGCCTCACCATTATTAGTCATCAGGAAAATGCAAATTATAAGCAAACTCAGTTCCTACTACACTCAGAAGAATTGCTAAAATGAAGAAAACATCAATATTTGTAGCAACTGGAACTTGTGTGCATTGTCAGTGGCAGTATAAGAGTAAACAATCACTTTGAAAACAGTTTACTAGAGTTCATCAGACACCTACCAAGAAAAATAAAAACATATTATTACAAATAGGAGATTAACAGACATTTCAATCATAAGAGCTTCAAACTTATAATAGCCCAGATGCCCATCAGCAAAATAATGGATAAACAAATGATGAAATTTTCCGAAAACGAAATACTACTTAGCAGTAAAAGAAGAGCAACATATCAATGAGGTAAAAATGTGGAGGGATTTTAGAAATATATTAAGCTGAAAGAAGGAAACAAGATTCAAGACAATACTACTGGTTTCCTTTGATATGAAATTTTAGAATAGCCCAAACTAATGAACAGAGATAAAAATTAGAGCAGTGGGTGTATCTTAGGCCTGGGGTATCACTGGAAAAGGGCCTGCAGGACCTTTCTGAGGTGGTGAAAATGGTATCTCTTGATAATGCGTAATTACCAGGGTAGATATTTGTGGAAATCAGTTGAAAAGGAACACCTTAAATGTGAGAATTCTGCTGTGTGTAAGCTACACCTCAATTTGAAACAAATGGCAACAATTAACCTTCAAAACTGCTCGAATGGTTAATTCATTCTTTGCACAAAATATTATTGTGAGGTAGGACGTAAAACCATCTTACTAAAAATTAGTGATTTCACCGATTTTTAACAATCCACAATTTGATTGGATAATGATAGCTGAGTAAATGAACCCAAGGAATGAAGATTCATCTGCAATTTAAAGCAACACATACACACACATACACAAACACACAGAGAGACAGAAAGAGACACAACAGATGTAGATACAAAAGTGTATATTCCTTATCTCTAGGAAATTCCACACAAACACTTTGCACAGTTTTGAATGTTGGGGCAAATATATATATTCTTATTCATGACTTAAGGCCACACACTGACCCATACACCTTGTCAGGGCTCCCTTGACCTCACTGTTCCTCACACTGTAGATGAGGGGGTTTAGCAAAGGGGTGAACACAGTATAGAAGGCTGACACAACCTTATCGTGGTTAGTGGACCTATGAGATTTGGGTCTCATGTAGGTAAAAATGGCAGCTCCATAAAAGAGTCCCACCACAGCCACATGTGAAGAGCAGGTGGCAAAGGCCTTCTTGCGGGCTTCTGTAGAGCGCATGTGGAGAACAGCGGCGAGGATGAGACCATAGGAGGACAAGATGAGGGACAAGGGGACCAGGAGCATTAACACACAGCAGATGTACATGGCGTTTTCGAAGACTGAAGTGTCAGCACAAGCCAAACGCACCAGCACGGGGGCCTCGCAGAAGAAATGATCGAGCTCGTGTGCCCCACAATACGGGAAGCTCAGGGAAGCAGCAGCCTGCAGGAGCCCGTCAGCTGCACCCAGGAGCCAAGACAACATGGTCATCCTCAGGCACAGCTGCCAGCTCATGAGCATGGGATATCGGAGTGGGTGGCAGACAGCCGCGTAGCGGTCATAGGCCATGGCTGCTAAGAGGAAGCACTCTCCACCCCCCAGCGTGGGGAGGAAGAAGATCTGCGCACCGCAGCCTGCAGGGGAGATGGCCTTATTTCCGGTCAGGTAGTCAGCCGCCATTTTGGGCACAGTGGTGGAAACCAGCATCATGTCCATGAGGGAGAGTTGGCTCAGGAGGAAGTACATGGGCGTGTGGAGCCGGCAGTCCCGGTGAATCAGGAGAATCATGAGGGCATTGCCAAACAGGGAGGTCAAAACGATGGCCAGAAGCATCATGAAGAGGACTTGGTGGGCTGTGGTGTGATTAAAGAGTCCTAGGAGAATGAAATAAGAGGTAGAGCTCCCATTTTCCATGATTTCATATAAGAGTGACACTGCAAATGGAGAAAAAGATGACAGTGTTTATCCTTTATGGTATTCCATTTGACTTATATAGTTCTTGAAAAGTACTTGTGTGAAAGCGATGAAACCTATGTCAAATCTTTCACTTGCCACTTGCAAAATATTCTAATTTGTGCATAAAATTAATTCAACTTTTTGTCATTTCCAAGGATTTATTATAAATTCTTCTCAGGCTGAGTACTGATTAATTTTATATAACAAATCCACGTTCTGGATAAGTTGCAAGTGACCTGCCAGAATGATTTTGCTTTATCTGATACCATCATAAGTGAGTGGGAATGAAATGATTCACATAATTTGTCATTTTATTTGTGCTTGAGTTACATCATGCATAGTCAATATTTTAGGAGCTGAATTAGGTCAACATATTTCATTATATAAAACTACATCCTTGATTATGAAGGTTGTGGGTCTATAACATACCAAAACTCATTGAAACCTACCAAAATCAGGTGGTTTCCCCTGACTTAATCCAAGAAGACTTTTTTAACTTTCTAAACAGGGTGACTTATGTTCTTAGGTCTGGAAAGACTAAGTCTGCAAATGAAAACATACTTAATTTGGAGTTGCGAACACATTTAGTCCTCCTTTATACGTGATAGACTGAAAACAGTACTGACATTCTTGGATATTTTTTATTTCTTTGCAATGTAAGAGTATAATGGTAAATACACATTTTCATTAACTGTACAAGGTACTTCGTTGCAATGAGACTTTTTCTCATCAGTCCACAAGCATAACCTTTACCAGGTAAAGGAGGATAAAGAAAAGTAAGATCTTTATCCAATCACAGAGATAAATTAGTTTTTTCTTCAGTCTCAAGAGAAATGAAATCTTTATAGGCATTTTCCTCTTAGATCTGCTGGTGCAGGATGTTTTCTAACTTTTTGAATAAATGTGGACACACCTGCATATCTATGCTGATTCAATCTCAAGGATATGGTCTAATTCAGTAAAGTTACATGGCAGAAGGAGCCTATCTCTTCCATGGGCATTCCCTTTGCCTCCACTTTTCGTATCCACCCTAAACTCAAATGCCAATCATGACTGGGAAATGCAGTGCAAGTGGGTCAGTGGATACCAGGGTGCATTACTTGAGCATCATAATTTTACTGGCAGCACAATACCTGAGGGTTTTATTTGGTTGTTTAAAATATCATGGAAATATACATATTTCCTTCTTGACAAATAAATTCTACATTTGACAAAACTTTGTGATATTCACACCCTGGTATCTCTAACATGCACATTTTTTTTCTTTTTACTTCTTAGAAAATGCAATAACATGTACTTTCTACACGTAGGTACTATACAAAATCTCTAATTATAGTCCTCAGTGTCACTTTGCTGAAAGACTTCAAAGCCTCCTAACTCATTTCTTTCACTTGATATCTTTCATTTCTGTTTTTTCAACCTTCCTTAGTGTTGAAGATTCATCAAGTTTAAATATCTTTAAAAAAATCAATCTGTAATTTCATAACTGTAGGGTGTTGGACAAGTTTCTTAAATTATATTCTTCCATCATATTAACTTTTTAAGTGCACAGTCAGTACAGTGCCTTCAAGTATAATCATATTGTTGTATGACCATCCACAATATCCATCCATGTTGTGTGTGTGTGTGTGTCTGACTGGCTTATTTCATTTATCATAATATCCTCAAGTTTCATCCCATGTGTCAGAATTTCCTTCCTAAGGGTGAATACTATTTCATTCTCTGTATATATAACAGTTTATTCAGTTATCCAGTTACAGCCATTAATGTTGCTCCTACTCACTTCAGTTGTATGTTTAAGGATCAATGTAATGGCATGTTTGATAAAAGATGTTAGTTGTTGTTGCTGTTGTTGTTTTTGGTAAGGTAAACATATATAGCATAAAAATATAGCAATTTCAATTAATTAGCCACTTAAATTATGCCAGACTGGTTCATATGTTTTCAGAGAATAATCTCAACAACATGCACGACTTTTCAGTTCAGGAAATACATTTTCTTATTATGAAGTTCCTACTATGGTTAAGTAGTTTGTAAAATTTGATGTCATTAGCTTGTACCTTTTCAGTGAAAATAGATAATATTTCTATTCTTTATGTTTAGGTGGAACGAAAATTCTTTATTTCCAGGTGTATAAAAATTATCAGTTTTTACCGGTCTAACTGGTCATCATGCCATAGCATTCAGATTATTTCATGAAATGATCAATTAAATGTGTTAAATAAAATTAGTAGATAACTGTATTTTTCTATGATGTGATAATATTAAATTATTTGCTTTATTAAAATTACTGTCTCTATTTTTATGTTACAAAACTGAGATAATTTGCCACTAGTTAAAATGTTTATGAACCTACAAAAATGATTATTTGGGATAATTTTTTTAAAAAATTGACCATGGAAACAAAGTATAGTTAAATGAAAAATGAAGAATTAAATAATCTTACTAATAAAATGTCTATAATTTCATTTAAAAGGAGGTTGAAAATTCAAGACTAACTAGTGTAGAAAGATGATAAAGTATTACCCTGAAAAATAAATATTTTTCCTTTTCTTTCTTCACTATAGCTTAGAAAGCTAAAGAATTTTGAGCTATATTTTCTTCTGTCCCCATAGTTTCTTATTTAGAATGGTGATAAAATGTGGACATCTTTACTTTAAATCACATGGATCTCTTTTGCAATGCTAGTAGAAGGCACGTATATATCCCTTCCTTTTTCTCATCAATAACTTGTTGAGTAATCATAGAACATTGAGAACAATGCCTCTAACATTCCATTCTGTACTTTTCTGATCCCTGTTGCCAAAACTTAATAGTAAAACTGTAACTCTCCTCCCCAAGATACTGAAATGATTAATCAATTTGTTCTGTCAGAAAATAAATTGGAAACAGCCAAATCATAAATTTGACAAAATTCACAGGTTATTACAAGAATTTAACCTGATGACTGTGTCAGCTAGCAGGTTTTGATTCTTCAGGTTGTAGAATGGATAATAGAATTTTATTTGTAAAATATATAAAGATGTATAGCTATGACTTCTCTGGAGTTCAAACTTTACAGGAAAATTATTAAATATTAAGTGACTAGTATTTACAGAATCACAGATTGTCTACTCACAGAAGATAAAAGTGATGACTCCTTCCAAAAGGCTGGATCCTGTCTGAGCAACGTTGTCTTAATGCCTCTTTGGGTGGAGAAAAGCTCTTCCAGCCTGGCTGTATTGGCTTCTCTTATATCAGTGTCTACAGTCTACTTCTTAGGGGTGTGGCCTAAATTAAATCTGATTAATAAACCAGAGAGGCATAAGCTTGCCACTTTGGTTGCCAAAGATGTTTAATTTTCGGGGACATTTTATAGACACCCATAATTTTAATATACTTCCAAAATGCTTTTGGAAAGCTGTGATTTATTGAAAGAACAGAATTCTTTAGGATCAAAAATGACATGTAAACAGATGTTCATGGAAAAAGATGATGCTTAAAAATACATTAAGGGGGTGAGGTAATGTGGCTCTGGCATTGTCTGTAGTTTAATATGATGGGAAGATTAAACAGGTGTGATATTGAAAGAGCAGCTGTTGTCAAAGAGAGTAGTTGAAATAAAAAGAAACCATGGTAGAATCCATGGTAGTTTCCTTATTGAACTAAACTTAACAGAATCTCTGCTGCATTATAAGTATCAGTATTTTTGCATCTCTGTGATATAATTGTTTTTAATATTTTATGTGTATCTATGTAATAAAATCAGTGATAACAACAATAGTAACAACAGATTGTATTCACTGTGCCAGGCACTTTGTGATTTGATTTTATCTGGGGCTGCTTTTTGTGATTTTTATTTCTTCTTAATATTTTCTACTGTCAAGCACCCTTGGATTCTGGCTCCACCTTTTGCAAGTTTTGTGAACTAGGGCTTCACTACTAGTATATATAAATCTCAGCTTCCAAAACTGTAAAAAATATATATATTTAAACAAAATTTCTCATGGAATAGATCATGGGGAAAGCTGCTCCTACACAAAACATGAGAAACTGTAATTGCTTATTCCAAGTGAAGTTGTAATTACCATTGTTTTTGTTTAGAAGGCAGGCCCATTATAGATTTTAGTGACACCTCTGCCTTTGCATGTTGCATCTTATTGAAGTGGCCAATCCTACTCTGATTTAGAATGTTATTGATCACATGCAGTCTACAGTTAAAGTCAGGTTATCTTATTTCCTGTGAAAAAACCCAAATTCCTGGCTAAGTGCAAGCAGTAAGTCATAGATATTTAGTATAGCAAGTTACAAATAAAACTTTCAATGAAAGTTTACCTATCACTTATAATAAAAGTTTTATCTTTCCATGTTCTGAACACTAATGTCTCTGGGTCCCAGGGGTATCAGTATGATGGTGTAGTAACACAGGGTGGCTACTGTCCGATGGAGGGAGTAGCCTTTTGCCTTAAGTAGATCAGTCTCTCTGAAGGACTGTAGTGTGTGAGAGAATTAAGGTCAGACAAGCTGTGAGTCAGATGAGAAAAAGATGTATGTACTGCCCAGAGTGCCACAGAAAAACACAAAGGACAGTGATGCTGGGTAGCTGAGTTGAGATTAACTACTATGGGGACACAAGAAATGCAAATCAAAACCACAATGAGATACCATCTCACTCCAGTTAGAATGGCGATCATTAAAAAGTCAGGAAACAACAGGTGCTGGAGAGGATGTGGAGAAATAGGAACACTTTTACACTGTTGGTGGGATTGTAAACTAGTTCAACCATTATGGAAAACAGTATGGCGATTCCTCAAGGATCTAGAACTAGATGTACCATATGACCCAGCCATCCCATTACTGGGTATATACCCAAAGGATTATAAATTATGCTGCTATAAGGACACATGCACACGTATGTTTATTGCAGCACTATTCACAATAGCAAAGACTTGGAATCAACCCAAATGTCCATCAGTGACAGATTGGATTAAGAAAATGTGGCACATATACACCATGGAATACTATGCAGCCATAAAAAAGGATGAGTTTGTGTCCTTTGTAGGGACATGGATGCAGCTGGAAACCATCATTCTTAGCAAACTATCACAAGAACAGAAAACCAAACACCGCATGTTCTCACTCGTAGGTGGGAACTGAACAATGAGATCACTTGGACTCGGGAAGGGGAACATCACACACCGGGGCCTATCATGGGGAGGGGGGAGGGGGGAGGGATTGCATTGGGAGTTATACCTGATGTAAATGACGAGTTGATGGGTGCAGCACACCAACATGGCACAAGTATACATATGTAGCAAACCTGCACGTTGTGCACATGTACCCTACAACTTGAAGTTTAATAATAATAAATTAAAAAAACAAAAAAAAACAACAAAAAAAAACAAAAACCAAAGAGAGGCTATGCTGAGTCCCTACACCAGCAAGACCTTGACCTTCTGCCCACTCTCCTCTTGATGGCATGTGGGGATAGACCAGCTTCCAGATTACAGATGGGCTGTATGGAGGAGGCCACCTCAAAGGTGACCCTGCCGGAGGTCATAGTCAAGAATCCACAGATCAGCAAGCCTGAGCAGGATAAATAAATATCACTTAGAAATTCCTGAAAAAAAAAGCTGAGATGGAGATTTAGACATTCAGGAAGCTGACCGAGGAGTGTTCCTAGTGTCAATTCCTGTGGCCTTAATGAAGCAAAATTGGGCACAGGGAGAAATGAACTGTGATGCAGTCACAACTACGGTCTCGGCTACTCCTTGGATGAACTCTGAGATTACCCTTCCATGTTGTCTTGTAGTAGGCAAATGTCCCAGTGTTTGTGTTCCCACAGAAGAAATTATTACATGTGGCTTGCCTGCAGAAAGCCAGCATAAGCTTGGGTGAGGCAGTTTACCTCAACTGGGAACAGTGACTTGAGAAGGACTTAGCTGAGAGCTGCCAGATACTAATTCTCCTGGCAGCTGGAGGAACAAGTACTTGAAGTACTTCCCACTCAAGTGGGGAGTGTGAGAGCACATGACACTGTACACTGTACATTACACTGCATGAGCCAAACTCGATCAGAAGTCAGTGCGAAGGGAGCCCCTGATGCTATTCCCACAGGTGTATTCCTGTAGCACAGAGCAGGGGGGTCACTTGGAGGGCAGGTATAGACGACATGTAGAAACAATGACCAGGGCACTAAAATATGTTTGCCTGGAAGTTCTAGTTCTAACTGAAAGGTAAAAGTTGGTTTGGAATTTGCCAGCTAGGAATATACTGGCCTGAGGAGCTGAAATGGAAACAGCTTCCCTCTCTTTCTGACCAGGCACTCCCTTGCACCACGCACACTTATCTTATTGTATGCTTGTTGAAAGATTCTAGGGACTAATTTTGAAACAAGCCAGGCATGGAGACCCAGCCGCAAATTCTCTCCCTCTTAAAATGACCTCAAGATAGATACTCTGCATCCCAGCCACTCTTGAGATGGTGCCAGTTGGCACTCTAGGTGGACAATCATTCAAGATAGCCATCACAACAAGACACACAGACCCTGTACTCTGCGTAACCCCTGCACACCTCCCACACCACGTTTCCCTTTTTAAAGCCCTACCCTCAGCTCAAAGCTTTGAGATGTTTTGTTTTGTTTTTTTCGAGGCTTGAGGCAGCCCATCTCCCATCTCCTAGCATTCAAAAAATAAAACCGATTTCCCGTCACTGCATCCCGCCTCTTTTGCAATTAGCTTCCAGGTGGTGAGCAGCTGGACTTGCATACAGTTCCAGAAATACAGGAGGTCTAAATGTACTTTCTACAATATTAAGTCTATAATTCAGTGAAGAGAATTCTCAGCAAAGAAAAACAAAAGAACTAAATAGAAACGTAAGAGCCAAAAAAGGCAGACAAAATAATCATAATAAAAAAATCCTCACTGTAGTTCAGCGTAATAACAAAATACAGATGACAAGTGGAAGAGTCGGCAAACTTAAAGATAAACAAATAGGAATTACACAATGTAAATATATTGAGGAAAAAGATTGAAAGAGTGATGAAAAGAGCTTCAGGGTCCTGTGGGACAATAACAAGACAATTTTTGTCATTACATGTAATTTAAAGCTTGTTATGTATTTTTGAGTATGCATCCCATTTATTATTATGAACTGCCCATAATTAGCCTGAATCATTTTTCTTGTGTGAAGTATGCAGCTAATTCGTGGTATCAGCATAACAAATCTCCATCTATTATCTATGTGAATCTTTATATGTAAAGTGTGTTTGTGCTAGAATAATTCATCATTGTTATGTATTTTGGGGCATAGTACCTGATAGGTAGTTTTTGATCCTCACCCTCC